CGCCCCCCCACGGTTCCCCTGCCCCCCCGGCGGGGGCAGAGGGTGGGCAGCCCCATCGCCCATCTCATCCCAGCCCCTGCCAGTTGATGTCTCGGGGAGGAATAGGATGGAGCTGCTGCTGCGGGGCTGCTCTGGAGAGGTTTCGGTACCTGTCCCCTCTTCGCCTCGCCGCCTTGCTGCCAGGAAGGGGAGGTGGGGTACGGCCAGAGGCGGCTCTCGCCGGGGAGCGGAGGAACGGTCGGAGGAGACTCCAGGGGTACGTAGGACTTGGGGAGGGGAGGTCGAGGTGGGCCTGGTTCCTGGGGTGGAGAGGAGCGCGAGGCGTGAGAGCAGAGACACTGAGAGCCGGGAAGGAAGTGAGTTAGAAAAAGATCGAGACAACACACAGTGGAAGCGCCGAGCCAAGGAAAGGAGGAGGGAGAGCAGACGGCCACCGCTCCCGGGGCCCCGCGGTCTCCGTGTCCCCGTGCAGAGGGGGCAACGCTTCCCACCTCCCACGCTGCCCTTGCTGCTGCACGTCCCCCCCCGGGCAGTGGGGCCAGGCAGGGCTCAGGGGCTGTCCAAGAGAGGGGCTCCCGAGGGGCAGCCCCCAGGAGACATTGGCATCGCCTCTGCGCGGTCAGGTGGTGCTGGGGAGATGCCAGATTCCACCCGAAACTTCACATGGATGAAGGTGAGACCAGCGCTGCTGGACCCCCGAGCAAGGGCAGCAAGAGGGGACTGTGGTGGCAGCAGGAGCTGGTCCTGAAGCCAACGGCTGGAGCTGAGCAACTCTCAGCCTTCAGGGCTGCTTGATGTAGGAGCCCAAAAGCTGCAAAGCCCAGCTGCGACCCCTGTAAGGACCCAGATGTCACTGGGGGACACCACAGCCCATGCACATGACCAAAATGGTGCCCCCAGGCCGAACCAGAGCAAACCCAGCCACACTTTGTGCCTGGTGCCCACCCATCCCCCGAGAGCAAGGGCTCGGGCCAGCCTAAGAGCCAGGCTGGGGACCCAGTGGTGGCAAAGGGGTCCCTAGGGACACCCGGCTCACTCACCTCACCGGGTCCTGGCTTGGTGGGCGAGCCCTGGGAGCCCGAGACAAGGCCCCACGCTGTGGCAGCCCCCGGGTTTGCACCATGCAAAGGCAGGGACCGGGCCCTGCTCACCCCTGTGCTTGGCAGTGTCCGTGCCGCGGGACGGGTTGTTCTTCCTCAGCCCCTCCATCACGTCCTGGATCCGCCAGATCTCCTTCTGGATCTGTCGGTTGAGCATTTCATTCTGGAGGGGAGAAAAGGCAGCGGTCAGAGGGGCTCACACCACTCCCAGCCCTGCTGCACCCCAGCCCCGAGCTGTGAGACCCATGAGTGCTCAGCTGAGGCAGACACAGCCCGGGGGGGTTGGAGCCATCATGCCCACCACTTGTCTCCTGCCAGGAACCATCCCTCTGCTCCCCCAGGTGCCCACCGCAGGCTGGGGGGAGCCGACAGAGCCCCAACAGCACGGGGAATGCTGGGCTGCGGCTCC